CAAATAAGAAAACCTTTTATCTAGAGCATTTTTATTTGGAACCAGGTTCTTAACCGTTTCAGCCTTTTTCTTTTTGGTGAACTTGACATTTTTCTGAAAGGCCTCAAATAGAGCTTTACATTGATTCTTTAAATGACCCGAGTTTCCACAATGAGTGCATAAACTTTTAGATATGTGAATAGTGTGTGCTACAAGATTATTCTGTTTTCTAAAACCTATCCCACTTCCACTGGTGGTTTGCCTTTCTTGAATCTGAGTTAAAATTTCAGAGGACCTAGTCCATCTAAGATTTCGTTCCAGATCAAGTTTGGTATGATCAAGATTTTCTGGTAGCAGCCTATTTCTTTCAGTTAAGGCCTGGAAATTTATAGTTAATTATTTTATTTTTTCTTCCAGAGCTAATTGAAGTTCACTAGCAGAGTTTTTGCCCTTGTGCCTTAACTTTGAGGTCTTAACCTGTTCTTTTAATTTATTTTGAAGACAGTGATTGTGTTTCTCAATATTGTCATTTTCTTCTCTTAAAGATGCATAGTTTTCCATCATTTGTTCTCTTTCAGAACTGATTGACTGATATGCATCTTTAAGAGTACTCAATAGGGATTCTAGTTCTCTTTTAGAATATGAATCAATATTTACTTTAATGTGATGAAGACTTACCTTGCTTTGTCATCTTCTTCATCATCTTCAAAATCTGTTTCAGCAATGAGTGGAAGAAAATCATATTTATTTATTTGTTCTATTGCAAGTAGTGATTGATTTTCGAATCCTTCATCCTCAGATTCATCTTCTGATGAGTCCCCCATAGTGGCGAAGGCCCTTTTCATTGAGAGATCAGCATCTTGATTGGTCATTATTTTGTTTGTGGGAATGTACTTATCATTCTTGATTTCTTTTACTTTCTCCGAACTGTTCCTCTTTTTCTCTAGAGCTTTTAATGGACAAAACTTGATAAAGTGATCCGGACTTCCACACTTGTGACAGACTTAATCTATTGGATTTTCAGTGGTTTTCTGAGAGTTCCTTCTTTGAAACACTTGTCCCTTTTTTAACATTCTTGAGAACCTTTTGGTCATTAGCGCAATGTTTTCATCCTCAAAATCTTCTGGTGTTGTGCCTTTAAGAACCAGGTTCTTCTCCTTCTTTTAGCCTCCAATTTCCTTTTCTTGTTTTTTCTTGAGTTCATAGGTCATGAGATTTCCGATGAGTTCATTCATAGCTAACTTATCTAGATCAAGTGCTTCAGTAATGGCTTCTACTTTACTTTCCCAAGACTCTGAAAAAACACTCAAAAGTTTTCTGATTGCCTTCCTATTGGGAATTATTTCTCTTAGTGAGTAGATTTCATTAATGATAGCAATGAACCTAGTGTGCATCTCTTGGATTGTTTTACCTTCTGCCATTCGAAACAGTTCATATTGTCTGTTCAAACTATCAATTTTAGACTTGAACACAACTCGTGAACCTAGTCCTTGTGTTGCTGTGACGAAGCCCTACGGTTTTGCTCCAATGACTATTGCTCTCAAGATGATGAATTTTGTGAATATGCAATAGACATTGTTCCGGCTTTGCTGGAAAATTCTCTCAATTTGTATTTATGCAAAGACGACGTTTTCCTTCAATTTCTTGAACCTTTTATAGAGTTTGATTTGCCTTCATCAACTTCTACAAGGAAAGGAATTACAAATCCTTTTCCTTCTTGAACTTGTCTATATTTACTTCTTTCCTTATTTGACTTGAATTGTTACTTCTTTGTCTCTTTCCTTATTTGACTTGAATTGCTACTTCTTTATTTCTTTCCTTCTTTATTTTTTTCCATATTTGTTTCCTTCTTTATTTCTGCACTTTTTCTTCTTTGCCGCAATCTCTCATAATTGTACATGTCGTCTGCAATCACGTCTGAGAACCTAGTTCACCTGATAGAGTACACATAAGACAACAAGTAGTGAACCATGTTCACTTTATCAATCACCAAAACTACTTTATATGTTCTCCTACTTCCCAACACCTTTATCTTTGAGAATAGGTTCAAAATAATTTCTTGAATATGTTCTCGTGTATTTTTTATCTTTTATGTTTACTAAAATGTAAGTACTTTTGATCTTTCGTCAAATATGTCAAAAACAACTCGAACAGTTAGATCTAATTAGAAATATGACTCCTTCTCCTTCTTCTCCTTCTCCTCCTCCTTCTCCTTCTTCTTTAGAAGTGCAATTTTACTAATATCGATCTATTTTTAGTGTTTGATACAATTGGCGTTCTAATTTATGAAATTTCACAAGACTTTGTTGTAGTCTCTCGCTAAAAAAATCTTACATTTTTTGTTAAATCTAAATACACACAAAATATGTTGGTGTAATATACCACAAATACAATAAATTATAGTTGAAAATAAAATGACAAAAAATGAAGAAATAATTTGTTAGGCTGAGGCACGGATATCTCACTCTCTTTAAGGAGATTCAAGCCTACTGCGATATAATCTACACCGATCCAACATTATATCTCTTGACTTGTCCCCTCCAGGATACAACAGCCCAACAACGTCGTACAACTCAAGCAACTCCGGATTAGTTGAAGAGTCCAAAGCTCCACAAAAGAAACACCTTCTTCAACATATAATACTCTCTTGTTTGTATAGTGAATATAGTTGAAGACTAAGAATATTTTGTTTTGTCTCAACTCTTTCTTTCACTACACTAACTCAACATACACAATATAACACTTCTCATCTTTTCTTACATTATTTCTCTCCTTCTCATCTTCTTGAGATACTTCACAAAGGAAGAAACACCACTATTTATAGGTGAAGAAGTCTTCCATATAATCAATAGGTAGAATGAGGAGTAGTAATGTGGGTAGATAAATGTGAAAGATGTTACATGAGTTATAAGAAACTAATGGTCATATAAGTTACAATAAACTAATGACCATGAGAGTTCAACAACTAATGGTCATATAAGTTACAACAACCAATAGTCATCTTCTACCACAATTTATACCAACTAACATATGCACTAATATTTTATTTTAAAAACAAAATGCATATACCCCAACAAAATATAATCAATAATCCCTTGACTAACTCAAAGATAATAGGAGTTGTTTGGCCATAGATTTATACAAGAAACATAGAGATATGTTATCCATCATCCATATATCAATACCTTATTTGTGAGTCATGGTTTAATTTACTCATTTAGTAAGATTCTATAAGAGTTTGAGAAATTTTGATAGTTTTCACAAATTATGAAATTTTATGTTTACAAAATATATACAACTTAAAAAATCTACATTATACGTCCAGAGAAAATGTAACTTCAAATATGAATTAAAATCATGTCCAAACAGTAATATCATAAACTATAAAAGACTTAAGTATTACAAAACCAAATATGAGGAAAGATTTATGTACCTTTGACTTTTTTTTGGTTGTAATGACTTTGTTGGAAAATAGTTTTAACATTGATACCAAATAAATAGGGATAAAGTGACTGTAGTGGATAAGTTGTTCAAATCGGGCGATGATATAAGTTATTCTCTCTAATATTCATGAGTCATGACGTACACTATATATATTTTAAATATAATATTATCTCTAGAATATAGTAATTAACAAAAATTTTAATTATCACTTAATCATATTAAATTAGTATGACTTTAGTAAAATATCACATCCTCAAAAGTTTTTACGATAAAAAAATTAGTATGATTTGAAGTAAATATCACGGTCGATAACAAGAGCAGGTAAGGTATGTGTCGATAAAATGAGCCCATATTTTAGTAATCTGTCCATATTTTAATGAGTTGGGTGAGTGACTTTTTACTTGGATAAAATATGGGTTGATATCCATATTCAACACATAAAAATATGGGTAAACTATGGATTAAGAAAATATATTTTATAATAAAGTACTTGTAAAAATAAACTTATATTAGTTCGTTTAGGTTGTTTGAGAGAGTGCACACCACTCTCTATGTTAGGTGGATGAAAAATAATATAATAATACTAGTTCAAAATTGTTTAGTGGGTAATAGGACGATTGCAAAGTTAAGGTGTCTTTTTGAAAATCTGGGACAACTTCAGTGGTGTCTTTATGTCTTTTCTCTTAAAAAAATTGTAACTTCTCTTCCTTTTTATGTTCTTCTATAGAACTAATTATTTTTTTCTATAATTGAAAATGTGAAGTCTTTGACCCTCCAAAAATATATATTTTAAATGTACATTTTTTTTGTTAAATATAATTATATTTGTTTAATTTTATATTGGATAATAAATAATAGTGTAAAATAAGAAAATTATGTAAGAGTATTGACATTGCTTAAGCCTTAATGTGCATTAAGCATGTTTTAGTCCTAAAATGCAACTATTCATTTACTTTGAAATTTAAAATATTTTTCCTCTGTTATTACATAAATTTATTTTATATTGAAAAGTTATGATTTTATATTGAAAAGTTATGAAGCATTTTCAACATATTTCATTTAAATAAAGACTAAAATATTTTTTCCATGTTGAATTCTCAAGTAGAGCACTATTTATTCATGAAAATATGGATAAACTAGTATTTTATCCAATTCATTTGTTACCCAATCCATTTTTACCCATATCAATTATGAGTGACTTGAATTATTACCCATTTTATGTTGATCCATTTTTAATCCACCCAAATTTGATCCAACCCGCTCATTTTGCCACCACGTGAGGTAACTTTAGAGGGGCCGATTTCCTTGTGTTGAGTCTAAAAAAGACGTTTTGAAGATTCTGATTTGTCTCAAAATCCCACTACGTCTTTTATTCTTGGCGCCTTCGAAACAAGAAAAATTCTGAATAAAACAACTAATCAAAGCATACCATTAGTGAATATAAGGAACAAAAAAGGGGAAATTTCAAAATACAGCCAACTAACTTGCAAAAAGGAAATCACCCTTACAGTTTCCTCATCATTAATTACTATCATTTTCAATTTTTTATTCCATTTACTTAAATCATTAAGTTTTAAAACTGCTAGTCAGTATATGTTAGGCCAATATGATCATTAAGAAAGTTCAACGAATCAGTCAAATTCACTCGCACACGGCGCCATCACGCGTCTTCATCCTTCTTCCTTCCGTCTCCTTTATAGATCCGAATTTCGCCCAAAAGTCCTTACTGTTGACGCACGCTTAATTTCTGATTCTTCCGAATATCGCTCTGCATACGTAGCATAATTCATATACTTTTCTTTCTCAGGTAAATCTTCTGCTTTTGCTTTTTCTCATTCGAATTCTAGTTTGATTTATGAAGCAACGCTTAATTTGATCGAATTTGCACGAAGTCAATCGCTTTGAATTCCTTGTTGATCGTTGTTTCCTATCTGAATTGCGTGTAGAAATGTATGTGAATTTTGGTTTTTAGAAGTTAAACTGAATGTCAGACGACTGATTATGTGCTGAATGTAAATTTATGAAGAAGTTTGACTTAGGTCGATATGAGGAATCAGTGTTTTCCGCAGGATACATGTTTGTTGAAATTTCTCTCACGGCCTTTGAACAGAGTAATTTCCATAATTTGAGTGTGTTTAAAGTAATTCCTTGCTTAAAGATGTGATATGATAGCAGTTATTACCTATTGAACTTTATTTTCACCTTATGTGTGTACTTTATTGTGTTTTGCTTATTTTTATGTTTGTTGTTAATGTGGCTCTGCAGTTGGAGTTAATGGCAGATTCTGAGTCCGAGAACAATAACATCCATAGAGACTTTTATATTCCTACTTATATACTTGCACCGAATGCTTCTAGCAACAGTTTACGTTTACCTGATGTACCTACATGCCCTGTGCTAGTGTTCGTCAACTCTAAAAGTGGAGGTCAACTTGGAGGAGAACTTCTTCGAACATTTCGCCATCTTCTTAACAAATATCAGGTACTTAAGCTGTTTCCCTTGATTCACACAGGCAAAAGAAACAACTGCACAAGTTATCAGGGAGAAGAAGCTGTTTCGTGAACATGCAGGTATATTTTTTCGCTTCTATATAATTATTTTGTTACATAACTTTTCAGGTTTTTGATTTGGGAGAAGAAGCTCCTGATAGTGTTTTACGTAGACTGTATTTGAATATAGAAAGGCTCAAGGGTAATGGTGATCAATTTGCTGGCGAAATTGAAGAGAGAATGAGAATTATTGTGAGTTGAATTCTTTGAGTTGGTTCATGGTTTTAACAGGTTTTCTCATAACTTCACCGGAGGGACAGATGATTATTTCCAGCACAACATACTGACATTGAATATATATATATATATATATATATTAGGTTGCAGGTGGAGATGGCACGGCTGGCTGGCTTCTCGGAGTTGTATCTGATCTCAAACTATCTCAGCCACCTCCAATTGCAACAGTACCTTTGGGAACTGGAAACAACCTTCCATTTGCTTTTGGCTGGGTATGGATCTGTGGCAGAAACCGTTGACTCTCTAGATTTTCTGAAGGATATTTTCATGTAAATTGTAGCTCTCAATATAGTGGTGCAAAAGCTCTCAGTTTGATTGCCTGGTGTCTCTCTATGCAAATTTTTTTCTAGATTTTATCATACTATGTCGAAAATATCTATTAAGTATAAACAATCTGGAATCCGTGTATACAAAAAAAAATTGCTCATAAACATCATTTAGTTAGAAGTTAAGAGTAAAAGTCTTTTGTTTCCTATAATACATTAGTTAGTGGTCTTTAGTATTGAGAAAGATACTTCATGTGATGTGCAGTTTTGGTGATTGACAGGGAAAGAAGAATCCAGGGACCGACCTTAGCTCCGTCATCTCTTTTTTGAAGCAAGTAATGAATGCAAAGGAAATGAAGATGGACAGGTTATTTTGTTAGTTCATATGTGATATTCTGGCCTGTCTGAGATTTTCTTAATTTTTTGTTTATCCCTTGATGATCAAGTTTTAATTCTTTGTACAAACTTCTTGGCAGTGGTACAAGCTGAATGCATTGTCTATCTTAAATTGAATATTGTTGTTTTACACATTAAAGAGATGAGAGCTTGTGATGTATAGCTAATTAAAGTGCAGACATCAGGGGTCTCATTTGTTATATACTGTTATTGTTTTTCTTGACTCAAAAGTAAAGAAATAAAATATAACAACAAATGCAAAGATGAGATTGATGTAACTATATATTTTTGTGTAATAATATGTGGATCCTCCTTAAAGATCTATCTTTTCATGGGAATTGGACAATATTTATCTGGTCTCTAGCTGAGTCAAGGAATATTATAGTTTGGGTTGATGAAGTTGTGAAAGCTCTAGCTTCCATTAAAAGAGAGTTGGAACAGCATACGTGCTCTTAAGCCACGGTCTCTCCATTTTCTACTGGTTCATAATCTAAACAGTAGTTGAGAAAAGATTGCTATATACATCATTGTTTTGTGCTTGTCATCCAATATTGGTAAAGGGAACAGATTTCTGCGTATTCTATTTCTTGTGATAATTGACCAATCTAAGTTCTTAACATGAAGAAATTCTTTTGTGTTGATTTTAATGCCTTCTTTTTTTATTGTACACAACCATAGTAACCTCTTCCAAAACAACTGGAAGCTCAAGTTTTTGGGAAATTTTCTATTGTTGTTATATCCTATACTCTTGGGGCTCATTTGGTACGAGGGGATAACTAATCCGGGGATTAATTTAGGATGAGTTCATCCCATGTTTGGTTGATATATAATCCTGGGAAAACTTATCACAGGATTAGTTATCCCGTGTTTGTCTTGAGGTTTTTATCCCATATTGAGGGTGAGATAACAATCATGGAATAACTTGTTCCCCAACCAAACGATCCCTTAGTATGGTATATATATTTTGATTGCAGACACTTCTTGAAGTATTCTAGGATTAGGAGTAATATAATTTCATGGTAAAAAAAATGGTTCATCATGACTGCTCATTCTCAATCAACTGGTGTTAAAAAAATTTGCTTTATGCAGTTGGCACATTCTTATGAGAATGAGGGCACCAAAAGTTGGTTCTTGTGATCCTGTTGCACCGCTAGAATTGCCTCATTCTTTGCATGCCTTTCACCGGGTTTCTCCATCTGATGAACTGAACATGGTAAGACATCGTCATCTGTTAGTCCTTTTGTCGTATAAAGAAATTATCTACTCTAACATGAAAAACACACACTTTCATATAGTTTATTTTTATCTCCATAAGATCTTGATCACTAGTACTCATTTTTTCTTTCTTTTTTGGTTGTGTTATGTCTTTGCTGATAGTATATTAAACCTGGTTCTGCTTCTGTAAAGTCCTGCTCCATAGTAATATAAATTAATCTAGGTGTCACCTTTTAGTCTTCTGTTAATCAATTCGTTAATAACATCCAACAGAGGCACCTATTATAGGAGTACACAATCACTGTAAATAATTTATTTCATTATTTTTATGATGCTCTTGGTTTTCAACGATAGTATTGATTTTAAAGAATATTCTACAACATGAATTTTCTTGCTTTGAGAGAGAGAAGAATCAAAAAATCACTGTAATTGTAAAAAGGTTCTTGAATAGTGTCGCAGAAACAGTGAACAACCATTGGAGTTGATATAATATTTGTCTTTCAGCACTTCACACATATAAAGGTAAATGAGTCTTCGAATTGGCAAAACTGATATGGTTGGATGGAGATACCACTATTGCAGTATTGCTAATGGCTTGGAGTACATATAATTTAATTGCATTACGTTGTTCAAGCCTAATCTTCTATGAGAAAGGAAAACTGCAGCATTCACCATTATGTTTTGAGTGCTATTTGAAAGAGTAAATCATATGTAAAAGAATCAGTATCTTTTACAAATATCAGCTTCTGCATTCAGTACATTTACTACCTTACAAAGGAGTTTCCTTATGTATTTACTTGTAGTTGGGTAATCATATGAAACCCAGGGTGGGGCATATTCGGGTAAGATTTCTATTTTGGCATACCAATTTCAAATGTATTCACATTGATTAAGAATGAAAAGTGAACATATGGTTATGTCTATCAATATGCATGCATACATATGTCTATCAGTGTGCATGCGTACTTTCTGGCTTTTGCAAGTTACAAATTTCTTAGCTTGGTCTGTTTCAAAGTGTTAACCCATGACTTCTTTCCTCTTTTTAACCTAATACCATGCAGGAAGGTTTCCATACATTCCGTGGAGGTTTCTGGAATTACTTCAGCATGGGTAAGTGCATGTTCTTTTGATTAGGAATTAAATTCTATATAGCCATTTAACTTCTTATTTTTTGTCAGGCCAGTTAATAATATCGAATAGTTGTTGGACATACAAATATAAGGACAGGCTTATCCTGTTCAATACCTATAAGAAATTATTATCTTTATAGCAACTAGAGAAGTAACCTAAAGAAGACGAGGTAGACCTAAAATTATATGAAGGAAAGTTGTTTCTGAAGATCTACAATCTCTTGGTAACAGAAATAACTTATTGCATAAGACAATGCCTTAACTTACAGAGACTATGATCTGAAGTTATTTCTTTGCTTCTTCTGTCAGTCATCTAGTACTACATCTAACATGAATTCTCTGTTATCAGGGATGGATGCACAAGTATCTTATGCATTTCACTCAGAGAGGAAAATGAATCCTGACAAATTCAAAAACCAACTTGTCAATCAGGTAGTAAAGTGGATGACAGGAATTAAGATGATACAGCTTTCTTTGATTTTTTTCCTCTGAATCTTTGCATATCAATTGAAGTTAATTGTTCAAGTCTTGTGCTCTGGACCTTTTGTTTTGTTCTATCTCGAAGAAAAGAAAACTACTCTCAATTTAATGACTGCTGTGGCAAAACAAATAAGTTGAAGATGTGGGATTGGGCTCTTGATAGCAGAAGTCGAGATTTTTGGTATTCTGTATTATCTTGTGATGAATCTTTAATATGTTCTGTTCTATCACAAAGAAGGTCAAAAGTAAAATGACTACAGTGTTAACTTTGTTTAGGTATCAGCTTATGGAAATTTGATTAATGAGACTCTAGCTTTACATCCCCTACTGTTGAGACAGATGAAAACATATGATAGATCAAAGAAAATTACGTGTGCAGCTTTTGTCTTGATTCATCTGCCGTAGACCCTCCTATAAAACCTAGTTTATCCTATCCTTGTGGAAACCCAGTAATCACATGCTATCTATGTAAATACTAAGCAATACATGTTATTCCCTCCTTGTTTTCTCAGATTAGCTTCTACTGCTTCTTTTTGTCTTTTAATTTGTTTATCCACATCTCCCTCGAACAGACAGTACCATATGCATCCTTGAAATCTTGAGAACTTCTAAAGTTGTTGACTAGGCTAATGTTTCAATAAATGCATTAGTATGGGTTGGTTCTGAAGTCATTGCTACAAATATAGGTGATTCGAAGAAGAAAAGGTTAAGAAACTGATTAAGGTCCATACTAGTTGGTTCCATTTACCTTTTCTTAAATATGTTGACAAGAGGGGAAGTAGGTGATATTATGCTTAATAAGATATAGGATCATCTGTGAAAAGAATAAGATATATGGTGCTTTTGCCTACTGGTAATATGCTGTTTTATTTCACTATTATACATTTTCCTTCTTATATTGCTTATGCGTCGGTAACTATTAGTAAATCAATTTGCAATGACTGATACTCAAGATAAATGAGGGATAGCCCCAGCCTCCAACTGTAAAATTGGATATCGAGTCAGCAGCAAAGCAAAGTGAGATATGCCACACTTACGCTCTCCTGCTCAGGGGTGTTAGGCTCATAGGTAGGGGTGGAGTTTATATTTGTATAGCCCAATTAAAAATTATTAATGCAACAAGTTATATAATTGCCATATAATACCATACTAATTTACTTGGCATTTAGTAACTAAGTGGAATTCGTGGTATCTCTATCCTAGCTCAATGAAGTTATTTGCATCGTTTTTTCTTGAGGTAGGGTTCTAGCATCTTTTAACATTCTGTAAATGATTCAAATTACCTGAAATTATCTATTGCTTCAGAGTAATAATACTTGAAAGGAATGCCTAATGCTAGTTTTTCTTGCTCCACAGAGTTCATATTTAAAGCTAGGATGTACACAGGGATGGTTTTTTGCCCCTCTCGTTCGTCCTTCTTCGAAGTGAGTCTGCAATGTAGTTTTGTTACACAACTTCTTTCATATCTTTTGCAACTTAACAACATTATATCCTCTTTTGTGGAAGCTTGACCTTCTTGAAGGTCTGATATAAGCTGCACCTTTAGTATTTTTTCAACAGATAGATCACAATTGGAATAGTCATCATAGTTAAGACTCCTGAGACTGATCATATTCAGTTCAATTATCTGCTTAAACTTTTTTTATATCTGTTTCATCAGTAATATGGTACCTTGCTTTTACGTGCTAACTTTAAATAGCCATGTAAATTTGTTTTGATCTTCTTGCCGGGAACATGAAAATGTGAACTTGATGATAGCTCTTGGTAACTTAGTGAGATACTCCTTTTTTCTGATTTAAATGTCCTTTCTTTTTAGTTCATCCTAAAATAGTGTAATCTCTTCAAAAGTTCAGGTTTTATTTAAATACGGTAAAGTAGTTTGTCAGCATCATAATTAGCCAATATGTTAGCAACTTCTACACTAAATTTACGCAATTTGATTGTTCCTGCATACATGACAGTGTGAGAGTAGATGATATATTGCATTACTTGCCGGGTAAACCATGACAATTACTTGAGATAGAAAGATATAACTACAAATTATGCAACTGTCAGTATTTGCCAAATTCCAACCAGTATTTTTTCTGTTCATAATTTGTGCCAAGTAGCGAGTATAAATTTGAACAAGACTTTCGAGGAGAATCAGAAATTTTCTTGTCATAAAATGGTTCAGGTTAATTACGTCTTGATTGAATAGTTTCCATCATCTCTTATGAGGATATACCTTATGAGAATTTTCTGGTCTCTGGTAGCAACTAATTTTAATTTACTGCAGGAACATAGCTCAACTGACTAAGGTTAAGATAATGAAAAAGCAGGGTGAATGGCAAGACCTTCACATCCCACCCAGGTAATATTAGTTACTTGTAGTATAGGAACCTTAGAATTTAGATGACGACTTGACAATTTACTTCTCTGTATCATTCTTCAAATACAATATTTTTGCTGTTTTCCTGTAACCTGTTTCTGGTTGCATTACTGCATCTATCTCTATGCTTGTTGAAGTTGGTTCCTAAAGAACTACCTATGAGTTATGTAACTATTCTTTTTTGTTGTCCAATTGTACATGCAGTGTCAGGTCAATTGTTTGCCTCAACTTGCCTAGCTTTTCCGGTGGACTGAATCCCTGGGGAACACCCAATAGCAACAAACGTCGATATGTATGCATTCCGAACAAGCTTCTTCCCAAATCCGCACTTTTTCCTGTTTCGAATTTGAAATCTTTTTATTCTTCTGTAGTCATACTGACGTGCTTATATTTCTTAAATGGACAGAGAGACTTGACTCCTCCATTTGTAGATGATGGCCTTCTTGAAGTAGTTGGATTCAGAGACGCTTGGCACGGATTGGTCCTCCTTGCTCCAAAAGGACACGGGACACGTCTTGCCCAGGTTAGGAATAAATTGTGGTTATTACAAATATTTGTGTGTATGTATGCCGACCGATGAGAAGTTCTGTTTCTACTAGTGATCAACTGTCTTTTGTATTGCAACTTGCAAGAAGGATAAAAACATTGAACAGATAGAGTTATCCAGGAAAAAAAAACAATGAACAATGAACAGATAGAATATAGGACCAATAATTTAATTTTTTTGAAATAAAGCAAAATGTAGTTGCAGAATCTGTCTAAATTTTTGCTTGTGGCCCTGAGAAAATAGTTATCCACCATGACCAGTTTCTTCGGAGAGGTCATTTTGTCAGATCTTTTCTGAAAACCAGAATTTATGTTTACTTATAAAAGCAGAGCTACTATTTATCCTATTTCCTCTATGGTTTTCCTATTTGTAGGCGCATGGAATCCGGTTTGAGTTTCACAAAGGTACAGCTGATCATACATTCATGAGGATTGATGGGGAACCCTGGAAGCAGCCCCTACCTGAAAATGATGACACCGTTGTGGTAGAGATTTCTCATCTAGGCCAAGTTAAGATGCTTGCTACCCATGACTGCAGAGCCAAAAGTATATATGATCCCTCAAGTCAATTCAGTCATGACGCTGATGAGGCTGATAGTGATGAAGAAAATTCGGTCAATGAAGAACGGAGGAAATTTGGGGCAGCAGACACTTTCAAAATTCCAGATGAGGTTGATGTTTCTAGTCTCAGTTAATTCCATAATTCTTCTTTGTTCTGTTACCTCTATAGTACATTTGCTGTATAGTAGGCATAGCAAGGCTCCATGTCGAATTTATAAGACATGGATATTTTAGAGGTTTTGCATAGAGAATTTCGTGATCATTTGGTGTATAGGAGAAATTTCGCTGACTTGGTGTATGATAAAGGAGATGCTAGAAATCACCATTATAACCTTTTACATGCTAGATTTTATTTAGCCAGAACATTATTTGGCTTTTAAAGTTGTATTTTTTACCAAAAGTGACCAGATTAGAAATATCATTATTTTTGTATACTTGCGTCTTCTCTCCGAGTTTCATTGAGAATTCTGAGATAGTTCCCGACCTTGTAGCATATGACCACATATTTTAGTGGCAGTTCAGTGGTTGGATATGTCTATAATCACTAGAAATGGGAGAGTATATAAATGTTTCCTTTTGAAGTAGCCGTGTGTAACATTTCAAGATTGTGCATAACTTTAGCAACTAACAAAATTAAATCCTAATGCACCAATCTAAGCTTTAACTTGATTGAGTATGTGCCTTGAGAAAAACACAAATGGAACTTTAAAAAATCCTCAATCAAATTACTGATGAAGTACTTTGAAGTAATACTTAAAGGCCCTAATCTTCGAGGATAGGGTAGGAAATCTTATTGCATTTTTACCTTCAAGAACTTTCTATAAGTACGAATACTCACCACCACTTGAAGAGCTCTCTCTACATAGTGAATTGTTACAGCTGAGTTCAACTGATTTTATCAGTACTCTGGTAAGAATAAAGATAGTCGTAAAGCAATGTTTACACAGCTTGAAACAAAACCAGAACCAAAGAAAATAGAGAGCAAGACAGCTGAGTAACTCTTTGATTTTTGTCACTACACAGAGGCTTTATCTACAAATAATTTAGAGATAGTTGCAACAATAAAGCTATTCTGTTTAACCAGGAAATAATGAACATTGCGATATATCTCAATTACTGTAATAACAAAACATTCAACGTAACTTTGATCTTCTAATATAACTTGCCTGAGCTTTGGAGACTGAGCTCTATTGTACATGGACTGTTCCGTTAGTGGAACAAGTCAATGAGGTCCAGGCAGGAGGACAAAATGATCTTTGTCTTACCTCCCAGCATATTGGTAATCTCCCAAGCATTTTGTCACAGTCTCATTGGCCTTCTGAGTTTCCCTTTCACCTCTCTTTTTCTTCTCCCTAAACAACACACACATCATAAAATTGAGATAAAACAGTAAACGTATTTTCAGCAGACAAGGTCTTGATTGACTGTATTTGTACTATACCAAAATACATGTGAAGAATGTAAAAGATGGAGAGGAAGGAAACAAGGGGGCATAAACGAGAGTGTTCTTCTGGGGGTGGGAATGAGGTGGATAAATAGGGGTAGGGAAGAGAAAAGTCATGGATTTCTAGTAGACTAAGTGGAACAAAACCTTGTAAGAGCTTATCAATGCTAGAGAAAAATGCAGCTGAATAGTTTTAGAAAATAGTTAAGAGAAAGGATACCAAAGAGTATTGAACCAAGAAAGAACTCTAACCTTTCCACGTATTCCTTCAACAGCTCTTTAGCCTGAACCAGCTTGGAGAGCAAATTGCGATAAACGTCAAGGTCCCGATCCACACTTTTCTTATTTACGTTGAGTGCGGCACAAAGCTGTCATGTTTTATCCCACAAGTCAACAATGATATTCTTGTCTAAGTGCATTGGAATTTATATGAGCATAAACATGGGGGTTTCACCTATACGTGAACACATTCAAGAAACCTGCTACACTAGTTACGCTGATTATAAGCAGGACCATTGTTATTTTACCAATCGAATTATCCAAACAAGTGACATTTTTTATGGCAAGTAAACTCAAGACCATCTTAAGTTTAAATTGTTACTCCCTCCATCCCATTTTATGTGAGATAGTTTGACTCGGCATAGAGTTTAAGAAAGAAAGAAAGACTTTTAAAACTTGTGGTCCAAAATGAATGACATAAATTTGTGTGGCTCTAAATCATTTCATTAAGGGTAAAAATAGACCTTTTATAGTTAAATTGTTACTTAATATAGAAATGTATCATTCTTTTTGGGACTGACTAAAAAGGAAAGTAAGTCACATAAATTGGAACTGAGGGAGTATGTTAGGGATGCGTTGGAAGTCATTAATTTTAAGTATTTAATTATATTTTTAGTTGCTTTATTTATTATTCTAGAATAGGGTTTAGTTTTAGAGTTTCATAAGGATTAGGTTAAGTTATAGTTATTATTTTGGAATAAGATTTAGGTCTCGTACTTTCATAAGAATTAGACTTCATTTTGATGTAATAAGACTCTTATTTAAAGGGGTTTTTGATGAATAAATCAGTAACTCATAATTAAGCAAAAAGCAAGAGATCGGAGTTCTCTCTTCCATTGAACTCTAAGGTTTTTGTCTCCCTTTAAAGAGCTGAAGAGATCGGAGTTCTCTCTTTTAATGAACTCTAAGGTTTCAGCCTCTCTTTAACGAGCTGATTTATATATCTCCCTGTGAATCGATCCTTCCCTAAAGATTCATAACAATTTGGTATCAGAGCCTAACACAATGGGCGATGAGATCAATTCCAGATTTAGAGAAGAACGTGCCATTACAGAAACCCTAATAGACTCTAAAATTGCAGCAATGGAACGCCTCAGCAAAAAAATAATCCAAGTCATCCAAGAACAATTGTCTAGATTGGGAGTTGGCTCCACAAAACCAGCAACCCATAGACATGAGTCATATAGCGCCCAGACAACTGGTAGATCAACAATTCCTGCTACTAAAGGCAATATACCGCATATTCAACTAGCCGATAAGAATCATCCAACAAGTGGTAATTCACCTTTGATAAGTTATGCAAAGATGAATTTTCCTACTTCTAACAACATCAACAATCCATTAATTTGGGCACATCATTGTGAGCAATATTTTGAGCGATTTGGACCTCATGAAAGTAGCAACCTGATGGGCAAATTAGTCATGCTTCAGCAAACTAATAGAGTCGAAATTTATCAATGTCAACTTGAAGCTAGGGTTGGAATTGGATAAGTTGATACTGATCCAGACTTTCTGGATGATTTCCCCGAAACTTGAGCTTGAGGACAAGCTCTTTCAACGTGAGGGGAGTAATGTTAGGGATGCGTTGGAAGTCATTAATTTTAAGTATTTAATTATATTTTTAGTTGCTTTATTTATTATTCTAGAATAGGGTTTAGTTTTAGAGTTTCATAAGGATTAGGTTAAGTTATAGTTATTATTTTGGAATAAGATTTAGGTCTCGTACTTTCATAAGAATTAGACTTCATATTGATGTAATAAGACTCTTATTTAAAGGGGTTTTTGATGAATAAATCAGTAACTCATAATTAAGCAAAAAGCAAGAGATCGGAGTTCTCTCTTCCATTGAACTCTAAGGTTTCTGTCTCCCTTTAAAGAGCTGAAGAGATCGGAGTTCTCTCTTTTAATGAACTCTAAGGTTTCAGTCTCCCTTTAACGAGCTGATTTATATAACGAACTGTGAATCGATCCTTCCCTAAAGATTCATAACAGAGTATCTTCTTTTTGCTTACTAGCATGAATTCTTGAAAACTAACCTAACCACCAAAGACCTCATGCGAAGAGTACAACAAGGAACTCTAACTAAAGAAGAGTCTTCATACTAGCCTTCTTTCCTTACAGATTTTTCAAGAAAGACATAAATAGGGTTGTACTATAATAACAAAGTACAGAGCAATTTAATTCTCTTTATACATAGAGGGTTGACAGAAACCTTTTACTTTCTCGTGCAGGTTAAGAAACAAAATAGGTCTCATGGGAGGAAGCCTAGACTATGGGCGCTATTAAGGAATTTGCTCGCTTTTCGTTTAGAGAGACATTGAATTTCATCCTAATTGAGTATAATGTTGTATATGAGAAGAATGATTTGAACTTTTTCTTTGTTCCCTTGTTTCCCTCTTTTGTGATGGATGTAACTGTTTGTGAAGATCATCATTTAGCAATCACACCTTTGTTGATTCATCAGTGCAATCAAGAAATGCTAGCATTGGTCGATGATTTAAAGTGACAGAGAGAGATAGTAGAACTCCTGATATTTCTGGTACAATTACATAGCTATCATGGACAGGTTAAATGCATTCAAGAAACTGGCTCAGACAATAACACAAAGAGTTCCTTTGGCCATTAATCCATGTGCGTTTACTTGTTCTAGTATGAGTGCCATTAATTATCTTTCTCACAGATTTCCTGAGAACGGATACCTTTGACTTCAGAATTAACACTTCCCCGCATAACCATGTTTTATGGAATAAAAATTTCAATGTTCTTTAAAGTTAAATTTGTACAATTACGGACAGTGAATTGTAGTTTAAGTCCATACAATGCACAGGTCTGAGTTTTACCTTACATCATAAAACAACCATGTAAGATTTTACACACTTTTATCTTAAGAATCTATTGCTTCATATCTACTTCTAGTGTGATCTAGCACTCATGGATGTTCATTTTTTTTCACAAAAAAAGAATATGTCAAGAAGAAAGAGAAACAGCAACAATGGGCAAGGTAACTGAAAGGAATATTTTAAATGTGAATTAGTTAAAAAGTGTCAAAAGTAATAGTGAATTCTCTTTCATCATACGCCAAAATAAGCAAGTCAACTCCCTCCAATCTAAATTGCAATTCTGATATCTCAGTCCAGCTTCAATACCTTTATGTATAAAATAATCCCATTAAAATCAATTTAGTTCATCACCAAAGTATTCATGCCAACTTGCCCAAACCATAGCCAACTATATTGAGCAAAACCTCAAATTTTAAGTTATCTACATGCTGAAAGCGAGTCTTCTGCTCTTTTAAGAAACTTCACTTTGAACAAGAAAAAGTTCAGAAGACCGGAGTGTTCTATGGTGCACTTTCTTGGCATCAAACAGTGGGAATTGGCTTTAGGCTTCATGCAAAGAAAAAAGAAGAAGCTTGCTACTGAACTTTCACAGAAGGGCGCAAAGAGATTACTAGATTTGGAGGCTTTAACAGCAAATGGCCCTATAGGGAAATGCTGTTGCTAATGGCTGGGGATTACCTGAGGCAAATAGTAATGAAAGAATATCTCTGCTGATCGTTTTGCTACTAACAGGCATTAATAGAAAATCAATGAAGACTCATGAGAAGGAAACAGGAGTGTTAATCTTCTTGAGAGTAAAGCAGAGCAGGAAATTGGTCCCCAAATGTCAGAAAAATAAGTGAAAATCACTAAATCAACGGCCTGATGCCCTTATCATGTCTAATTCTAGGCAATAAGGGGAATGATCCTTCTCTCTGAAATTACTCTCTAATTCTCTGAATGGTTTTCGTTCATTAACTTTGTCTGTTTGATATCAGCCAGAATGATACCGTTGGTTTTCCAAATCTGGCGGTAATAAAGTATAGAGGCTAGCACTGCAAACATGAGTGAAAAGACAAGAACAGAAACTATATCCAGCCCCAACTTAAGAAGCTCTAAAATAAAATGTGTCATCAGTATTATGACTTGAACCAGGTTTCCCAGTTTTTAGAGTTCTATCTGAGAAGAATACTTGAAAACTTATGTTCTTGTTCATTTTTTTTCATTTTTTCAATGCACCGATAATTAGCTATGCAAAGGCAAATTGAAACTATATAAATCTCACCCGGATATGGGCTTAGAATTCCTGATCATGAGTAACCTTCCCTCTGACACTAAATTACTTTACGTGTTTATCATAACTATTTCCAAAGTGTTACAAGTTTACACAAACCATAGAGCTTGTGGTGTTTTCTAGATGATTTAAGTAATCCAAGTAAACATAGACGAACAGGAAGTTCTTGTAAAATACAAAATATACTATGAAGAAGGTTATGATATATACCTTTTCTAAGATGGTCGGATCAGTTACATTTGCCAACTCAAGTAGGCGAAAGAGACCAACCGCAAATAATCGACTGTAACAGAAACCGTCCTTGGTTCCAGCTCGCTGTGCAATATCCTTGAAAATGTTTTCAATTTCTCCATCTTTGGATGAAAAGTCAACTAGCGTATTGGCAGTTTGAGTACGAGCCCATTCTTCTAATTTTTGTGCATCAGCTCTATAAACATACTGGGAAAGTTAGAATCTCTAGAAAGGAAAAGATTCATGGGCATACATCATAATAAAAGGTAAGTACACTCCTGATAAATCTACTCAATGTTAGACAAAAGATTATAACAACTACAACAGTAACATCAACAACATCTATGACTAAACCCCAAAGTATTGGCACTCGGATATATGAATCATCAATATCCATTTTGTTCATTTCATTTCTACTCAAGACTAACAAATGTGATAAATAAAAATAAGAACATCCACAAAAAGCTCTAACCTTTTTTACATTGGATGGTCATGAATCATGATATTTAAAAGGTGATGCACAGGAAATATCTAAAAGAAAAATGAAAATCTTCCCATATTATTAAGTTTCAAATAAATGGAGCATGGTTTTGGCATTTTCTTGGTTGGTTCATGGGTTCCTCTTCGTAAGCCCACGAAGACTGTTAGATTAAGGATAAAAGTAAGCTACCTCTTAGTAAATGAAAGTTGATCAAGGGTTCTACAGCTAGTTCTGAATAGCAGTTCCACTCATTGAGAAATCATACACTTGCATTTCTCAAGCTCCATAATACGGCTAAGCCTATTCATCTTGGGTTTTGGTTCCATCCTCCAAGAAACTCTTAATGATAATTAAACTTACATTTTTATCTACAACTACCTTACTGGAAGGCTCAATGCTAGCATCCCCTCACTTATAAATAATTATTTAAGTGCCTTTAAACAAAAAAGGAGTAAAAAGCAACAAAAATTGGCAAGAGATGGATTAAGCATGCCTGTATTGCTCAGGATCCTCCTTTAACGCCTCTATATATGCTTTGAAGATGGCATTACGGTCCTCTTCACTTGGGTAGCCCTCCATAAGTTGATCATACACAGTAACAAAACCTAGGGCAAACACGGGATCATATTGGTAGGATTTCTTGTACCTTGTCAAATGTTGTTGCACGATTAGCTCTTGTAACACTGTGTTGTACACAGTTGGAATTGGACGCTTGTAAGCGGTCAAAAACTTCAATTTAGTGTCAGCAACAGTTGGCAAATCTGGAAACAATTCAATATAACACGTTGCATTATTACCTCATAAAATAAACACAGGAAAAATCACTAAGATGGAACAGAATAAGTAATGAGAAAGAAATTAGACGAAACAAAATGTAAATATAGAAAATGCGGACAGTTGCAAGAATGCAGACAGATATATTAAACCAGAGAAAGCTTCATTTTATCTGTTAGTTCGATATCCATGTTTTTACTTTAACAAGTTAATTCAATTTTCATTAGCAATAAATAGTACTCCTCCAATCCATTTTATACAATGTTATTTGTATGAACATGGAGTCTAATATGTTAATTTGACAAGTTTATGTACTTGATAATTCTTTTTGAAGAAGTAAGGTCATTTATTTACACTTCATTACAAAAGTTATATCATGTATGAAATCATCCCGTAAGCTAATTAGGGAGCTAACAAATATTTAAGCAATGGTTAAGATCTTATATAATCGAGAAAATGTCACACCAAAGTTTATAACGGGAATAGCTCAATGCATTTAAATTCGTGAAAGTTCTAAAAGTTGTATAGAAATGGAACAGTGTAAAACATCTATATAAAGCAGAATGTAGCGAGTATATAACAGTAAAATATTCTCAATACTTCAAATCACATATAAGCAATTCCAACGAGAAAACATCGGCATTTCACTATATCTAGATCCAAATTTAACCATTATGCATTTCATATAACAAATTGTAAGATATGGACTAAACGTAATCGTATTAGAGAGAAATAAGTTAAGCAATTGTAACATTATACATACACAATCATGCAATTAGCTGAGAAATTAAACTAAAACAGAAATTAGATTGAAAAAAAAACAAACTACCGTATAGTTTAATTTTTTCCTAATTCAAATTCGAAGCGATAAAGAGAACTTGCCTGCTGCTGAACTGGACGTGCAATGAACGACAAAGCGAGAGGTGGAATTGGAAGATCGAACATTGACGGAATCAAAGGAGAAGTTGGAACGGAACCTAAATGTATCAATAGAACGAGACGAAGAAACGGAGGATTTCCTTTCCGCCGATTGAGTAATCGCCGAGAAAGATACTGAAGTAACAGCCGCCATATTTCTACAGGTGAAGAAGAAGAAGAAGAAGAAGAAGAAGAAGAAAGAAACAGTGTGTTGCTTTAGAGAATAGAGTTGTTTTCCATTTCAATTTTTCTGTGGAAAATGGAGAAAGAAAAAAAAGGAGTGTGAGGTTTGGATTTGAGGGCTTATCCGATGGCTTTTAGGATATTTCATTTTCATTTTTAATGTTTATGAGTAGACGAATAATAGCATAACACGTGTACTGATTGGATCCATTTTGTACTACTCCTTTTTGTGGTTATGAACGATTGTTGTAACTTGTAAGCTATGCCAAGTGGTGGTGTACGTAGTTGGTATACAAGGAGGTCAGGGTCGATTTCTTCGGTTCAATCTTTTTTTCAGTTAATATTTTAACAGATTTATCCATGCAAATTTAAAGAATAGTGGCTACAAATTTTTCTGGATGCTCCAGAAAAGAACTTGTTAGTTAGGTCAGATAAATACAGTAAAAAAAATAAGTTGCTAATGATGACCAAATAAACTACTAAACCAAAAATATCATTGAAAATAATAATGTTTTAGAAGTCATCCGAATGCGAGAGATGACGGTTCAAACTGTGATAATCCAACACATACTAGATCAGACATTATTAATTATTTAAATAAATTTACATATTTTAAAGGAATAATTTCATAGACCTCCATTCAGATTTTCCTTTATAACATAGACCTCCTGTGATTTGATTGATATATTACATCAACCTCCCTTATTCTCACTTTTTATAACTAAACTAATTTTAGTGATTAAATTTACATAATCTTCCAAAATTACCCCTTGTGACCTTAATTATCAAATATAAAGCTTATGTAGATTTTCTTAATACTCTACCTATCTACCATTATTATAAATAATATCTAGCGATTTCTTCAAATCATCATCCATTATCCAATGTTTGCTGCCATTATGCAGTAGCCATAGTTATTAATTATC